AATCGAATGGAATAGGTTTTAAGGCTCTATCTCTCATAGTTTCCGAGATAATCGCGAAAAACGAAAATGCCAAAAAAAATTAATTTAATTCATCTTGTATAGGGTGTAGGAAGTGGAAAAACGCAATTCTGAGCCGTCCATCTGCCTATACGGAACCCAAATTTCCTCAGGAATCGAATGGAATAGGTTTTAAGGCTCTATCTCTCATAGTTTCCGAGATAATCGCGAAAAACGAAAATGCCAAAAAAAATTAATTTAATTCATCTTGTATAGGGTGTAGGAAGTGGAAAAACGCAATTCTGAGCCGTCCATCTGCCTATACGGAACCCAAATTTCCTCAGGAATCGAATGGAATAGGTTTTAAGGCTCTATCTCTCATAGTTTCCGAGATAATCGCGAAAAACGAAAATGCCAAAAAAAATTAATTTAATTCATCTTGTATAGGGTGTAGGAAGTGGAAAAACGCAATTCTGAGCCGTCCATCTGCCTATACGGAACCCAAATTTCCTCAGGAATCGAATGGAATAGGTTTTAAGGCTCTATCTCTCATAGTTTCCGAGATAATCGCGAAAAACGAAAATGCCAAAAAAAATTAATTTAATTCATCTTGTATAGGGTGTAGGAAGTGGAAAAACGCAATTCTGAGCCGTCCATCTGCCTATACGGAACCCAAATTTCCTCAGGAATCGAATGGAATAGGTTTTAAGGCTCTATCTCTCATAGTTTCCGAGATAATCGCGAAAAACGAAAATGCCAAAAAAAATTAATTTAATTCATCTTGTATAGGGTGTAGGAAGTGGAAAAACGCAATTCTGAGCCGTCCATCTGCCTATACGGAACCCAAATTTCCTCAGGAATCGAATGGAATAGGTTTTAAGGCTCTATCTCTCATAGTTTCCGAGATAATCGCGAAAAACGAAAATGCCAAAAAAAATTAATTTAATTCATCTTGTATAGGGTGTAGGAAGTGGAAAAACGCAATTCTGAGCCGTCCATCTGCCTATACGGAACCCAAATTTCCTCAGGAATCGAATGGAATAGGTTTTAAGGCTCTATCTCTCATAGTTTCCGAGATAATCGCGAAAAACGAAAATGCCAAAAAAAATTAATTTAATTCATCTTGTATAGGGTGTAGGAAGTGGAAAAACGCAATTCTGAGCCGTCCATCTGCCTATACGGAACCCAAATTTCCTCAGGAATCGAATGGAATAGGTTTTAAGGCTCTATCTCTCATAGTTTCCGAGATAATCGCGAAAAACGAAAATGCCAAAAAAAATTAATTTAATTCATCTTGTATAGGGTGTAGGAAGTGGAAAAACGCAATTCTGAGCCGTCCATCTGCCTATACGGAACCCAAATTTCCTCAGGAATCGAATGGAATAGGTTTTAAGGCTCTATCTCTCATAGTTTCCGAGATAATCGCGAAAAACGAAAATGCCAAAAAAAATTAATTTAATTCATCTTGTATAGGGTGTAGGAAGTGGAAAAACGCAATTCTGAGCCGTCCATCTGCCTATACGGAACCCAAATTTCCTCAGGAATCGAATGGAATAGGTTTTAAGGCTCTATCTCTCATAGTTTCCGAGATAATCGCGAAAAACGAAAATGCCAAAAAAAATTAATTTAATTCATCTTGTATAGGGTGTAGGAAGTGGAAAAACGCAATTCTGAGCCGTCCATCTGCCTATACGGAACCCAAATTTCCTCAGGAATCGAATGGAATAGGTTTTAAGGCTCTATCTCTCATAGTTTCCGAGATAATCGCGAAAAACGAAAATGCCAAAAAAAATTAATTTAATTCATCTTGTATAGGGTGTAGGAAGTGGAAAAACGCAATTCTGAGCCGTCCATCTGCCTATACGGAACCCAAATTTCCTCAGGAATCGAATGGAATAGGTTTTAAGGCTCTATCTCTCATAGTTTCCGAGATAATCGCGAAAAACGAAAATGCCAAAAAAAATTAATTTAATTCATCTTGTATAGGGTGTAGGAAGTGGAAAAACGCAATTCTGAGCCGTCCATCTGCCTATACGGAACCCAAATTTCCTCAGGAATCGAATGGAATAGGTTTTAAGGCTCTATCTCTCATAGTTTCCGAGATAATCGCGAAAAACGAAAATGCCAAAAAAAATTAATTTAATTCATCTTGTATAGGGTGTAGGAAGTGGAAAAACGCAATTCTGAGCCGTCCATCTGCCTATACGGAACCCAAATTTCCTCAGGAATCGAATGGAATAGGTTTTAAGGCTCTATCTCTCATAGTTTCCGAGATAATCGCGAAAAACGAAAATGCCAAAAAAAATTAATTTAATTCATCTTGTATAGGGTGTAGGAAGTGGAAAAACGCAATTCTGAGCCGTCCATCTGCCTATACGGAACCCAAATTTCCTCAGGAATCGAATGGAATAGGTTTTAAGGCTCTATCTCTCATAGTTTCCGAGATAATCGCGAAAAACGAAAATGCCAAAAAAAATTAATTTAATTCATCTTGTATAGGGTGTAGGAAGTGGAAAAACGCAATTCTGAGCCGTCCATCTGCCTATACGGAACCCAAATTTCCTCAGGAATCGAATGGAATAGGTTTTAAGGCTCTATCTCTCATAGTTTCCGAGATAATCGCGAAAAACGAAAATGCCAAAAAAAATTAATTTAATTCATCTTGTATAGGGTGTAGGAAGTGGAAAAACGCAATTCTGAGCCGTCCATCTGCCTATACGGAACCCAAATTTCCTCAGGAATCGAATGGAATAGGTTTTAAGGCTCTATCTCTCATAGTTTCCGAGATAATCGCGAAAAACGAAAATGCCAAAAAAAATTAATTTAATTCATCTTGTATAGGGTGTAGGAAGTGGAAAAACGCAATTCTGAGCCGTCCATCTGCCTATACGGAACCCAAATTTTCTCAGGAATCGAATGGAATAGGTTTTAAGGCTCTATCTCTCATAGTTTCCGAGATAATCGCGAAAAACGAAAGTGCCAAAAAAAATTAATTTAATTCATCTTCCGTGAAGCCCACGGAACATAAACATTCGGGAGGCGATAAAAGCGCCGAGAGTGGGGGTAGGCCTCGAGCGCTCGGAGCGCGAGGTATCTTATACGAAGCCTCTACTGTATTCTCATAAATTCATGTAGTTTGCATTATTAATTGCAAATTAATGCAATTAATGATGATGACATCATTAATAAATTCAAAATCAAATCACATAGTTTTGAACAGAAGTCTAGTACATGCAACATCTATTAAACTTACTCATTCATGAAAATCCATTCCCCAAAAATAACTCGAGGAAGGATTGCCCGTAAGACCGTCAAGACCTTCGATTTTCCGCGTAATTAATTTTCCCCAAGTAAACCCTATCACCGGAAGTCCATAATATGAAGTTCAAACATGACAATTAATTATCGTTGACGAATCACGAAACGCTCGTAAACACTTCCTATATTGCACACCTCAGGACTAAAGTGAACTCCATCGTTCCATTGTAATTCTCAACGAGGGGGCAAAACTATTGGCAATCACCAACCACAACTCGATAATTGGTTCGTCGTAAATCGACCGTTATCGCATCAAATACTTCCGGCCCCTTGTGGTGTCTTTGGATACCTCCTCTTGTCCCACATACTTACCAACCACTTACTTATTTCTATCTCATTCGCGAATTATATTTAGACGAATTATCGTTTTCGGAGTGATCTCCGATTTATCACGGATGGCAAATGGGAATTCCCGGAATTTTATTATCAGCGGAAAATAATGCACGCGAGAAAATATTGCAACACTTGGAAAAATAATTTCTTCGAATCGAATGATTAATTCATTTGAATAATTACCATTATTCGAAAGATTATTTGGAATACACTGTTAGAAAAAAAAAAAATACACTGCTAGAAAAAAAAATGAAATTTCATTCGACAGTTGACCACTAATTTTCAGGACAATGACACTGAATGCGATTTAGGCACGGCGAGAAATATTCAGTAAAAATTACGGAACAATTCACGTAATCCGCAATGGGGAATCGTTTTCCGGCAATTTTTATAGGAATGGGAGACAAGAAATCTGAAACGTTTAGTGAATTTTCAGGTTCATCACCGAACAAAGTACGAAATTGTCACGTAATATTTCCCGAAGAAGTCAAATCTTACAGAAACTTGCCGACTCATTATGCCTCCAAAATCAAAAATTCTTGAACGTTCAATCATTTTTATGAAGCTGGTGAGTTATTTCTACGTTCCGTTCCGTAAAATTTCTCAATCGTTGGGGAAAAATTACGGAACGACTTGTCCCCACAGCGGTGACTCATACGGGTGGTTAATTTTTACGGAACAAATTGTAGAATTTACATGACGATTCGTACAATTTCAGTTACAACTAACACTTTTTATTGAATTGTACTTCACTCGCGGATTATGTTTCGAAACGTAATTTTTACGTTTTTTTCTGGTAATTTTTATTGAATTTTTCTCCATGTAGGGGAAAAAAATAATAAAATTTCAGGTTTCACTGAAAGTTCAATAAAATTTCACAATTTTAAGCAGCATAAACAGGAGAATCCCTCAATGTATTTGAATATCCAATCTACTACGAATATTCAGTGCCAAATTACATTGAATTTTCAGTAAAATCCAAAATTCCATGATTTTTTTTCCCCCTAAATCGCAATCAGGGGGAGAATCACTGGAGAATAATCACAGGAATAAAGTATGAGTGAAATAACCCATGGAAAACTCTTCCATTTATCACTCTGATGGAATATAATTCTTTAAAAAAACAATTTCAAGAGCTATCTCACCCCGATTAATCATTGAAAATGATATTTCCATTTTATTTTGATGGAATAGTGTCCAGCTGTGTATAATTGGTTTGGCTTCATACTTATCAATTGAGTTTAACCGAATTGATTTCACAGACGACGAGAAAAAATTAATTACGTCGGCCTATTTATCCCATTAATTTAGTCTGAACGATATCTCGGAGTGACAGAAATGCTAATACATACGTAAAAGTATAATTCGACCAGCTGCGTTTGCTTGGGTACACAGGTCAGTGCTTCTGATTCACAGCATCCAGTGTCATCTGAGCATCTGTGGAGTATTGCGCAGTGTGGAATGTATCTTGTTGTTGTATATGGGTAAACGTCACGCACAGGTATGACTCGCGCTCTCGGCTGTTGACAGTTGCCTTCCTGTCGCACTTTCTGTATGTGCTGCATGACCTCTCCCACGCCAGCTAGAACAATGAATGAAAAATGATTGTTTTATGATTTTCTAAGTACAGAAAAGGCTTCGTATAAGATACTTTAGGGACAGTAGGAGAGTGGAATTTCGGGAACCCCGATGCCCCCACTACGCGCGCCCATAGAGAGGAGAAAAATCGGGATCAGCGAATTTCAAATAAGATACCTCGCTCGTTGCGCCCGAATTCAATGAAATTTTCAATTTTACTGAATGAATATCGATAGCTAATCAATTTATGTGTTTAATGTTTTGAATTTGTATCGTCCGAGTTCCCTTTTCTCTCTAAACATAACCCCACGTGATAGAATGGCAGCTGATGTCGGGGAATTGTTGGTGGACTGGAGAATAATCACAGACGAAAAATTACGATTTTTCGATGGGAAAAGTGAAAAAAAATCGATGTATATTTCCATTACTTGAAAAAAGTGGTGTGACCCCCCCTTAAGGTCATTAGACCCTCATGATTACTTCGTTCGTCCCTCCCGTTTGACCCTTAACACCGTTTGAACCTTATAACTACTCTCTTCCCGTTGAAAAATGACCGGGGCCATAGGTATCTTATAAGAAGCCCACGGAACATGAACATTCGGGCGGCGATAAAAGTGCCGAGAGTGGGAGTAGGCCTCGAGCGCTCGGAGCGCGAGGTATCTTATACGAAGCCTCTACTGTATTCTCATAAATTCATGTAGTTTGCATTATTGATTGCAAATTAATGCAATTAACGATGATGACATCATTAATAAATTCAAAATCAAATTGCATAGTCTTGAACAGAAGTCGAGTACATGCAACATCTATTAAACTTACTCAGTCATGAAAATCCATTCCCCAAAAATAACTCGAGGAATGATTGCTCGTGGCGGTAGGCCTCGAGCGCTCGGAGCGTGCGGTATCTTATAGAGAGGTATCTTATACGAAGCCTCTACTCTACCTTTCTATCGGGATCAGAGCTGATGAATCGATGTTTTGTCGTGAGCGATGGAGTCATGAGAAAGTTGACTCGGGGGTACGCAGTGTGGACCAGTTTTTAAATGAAGTATGTAATTGCTAATGGGTGAATTTATACAGCGAGAGGAGAAACGACCCAATATCACAAAACCTGAGGACTAATCAGCAGCCATGCGGTAAAACGGTTCGAGTCGATTTTGACTATTGGCCAGTTTTCAATGAATATCTCGAAATCTAATGGAGATAGCAACATTTTTGTTATGAACTTTTTTGTAGCCCACAATTTACTCCATAAAAAATGTCGTTAGCAAAATTTCGTCAGCTCCCTTAGATTCGGAGATAATTCGACCTAAACCGTTTTACCGCTTCGCTACTGAAATCGTGTGGAGCAATAGTTATGTGAAGTGTTTACGACTTAAACATGAGTATTTCACGATAAAGTGAGAATTTTTTGACTTGAGGAATCGTGTTCTTATGTGAGTAAATGCTCAATCAGGGACTTGTAAGTGCTCAATCAAGGAATACGAGATAATTAATCAATGAATTATTTAATTAATTAACGACAGTAGTCGTCGCACGGGTGGCGTGCGGCTCCGGCGGTCGTCCGAGGCAAGCAAATCTCTCGAAAATTAGTGTACCTTCTCACCAATGCATGAGACGTACCGAAGTGGGCACAAAAAAGTAGAGAATACTCTGTACACTATTAAAAATTTTCGTCTGAATTTTCCGGGCCACATTTCGGAAATTTTCATAGTGTCCAAGTTTCACTGAAATTTCAGGAAATCTTGTCATTGAAAATTCAGAATTTCGTGGAGAAATCAAACAGAACTATATATTTCCGTATTTCCGTTCCATATTTCACTTTACGCACAAGTGATGAAAAATAATTTAATCAAATAAACGGGTTTATTCAAATAGCTCGTGTTAAAGCTTTTCACGTATGCAAAAAATTATTAGAAAATGCTAGCACTTTCTCTAAAGAATTCTTTTGAATTGCTACTTTTATTGCTTCTTGAGAAGCCTACAGAATTCTACTATAGTTTTGTACACAAATTTTGCTGAAGAATATCTTTAATATTAAAAGCAATATGTAGTATAAATAAAGTCCATAATTTTCCATTTTTCTGCAGAAATTCTCGACCATAAATTTACCGACTTCTCCCGCTGCATTATTATTTATTCCTCACAATGAAATCCAAGACAAACTGTGAGAATTCATATCCAAGAATTCAGTAGCGAAGTGGTAAAAGGAGATGAGTCAATTTTGACTATTGACCAGTTTTCAATCAATATCTTGGAATCTAAAGGAGATAGCAAAATTTTTGTTACAACCTTTTTTGTAGAGCCTATTGAGGGCTACAACAAATGTAATTACGAAAATTTCGCTATCTCCCTTAGATTCGGAAATATTCCTCAAAAACTCAACTGGGAGATGAGTCGACTTATCTCCGTTTACCACTTCACTACTGAATTCTTGAAATCATTGCTTAGGAAGCAGAGAGAATGCATTTATCAACATGCGATAATCCCCTATTTGGAATGAATATCGATTGTCATTCGTTTCATTACGATTAAAATAATTCCATTGAAATGGGCAGAAAAAACTCAAATAAAGGTGATTCCTCCGATTGAAATACGTCACAATTATCATAATATTCGCGAAATGGAAGCCTTCTCCCATCGAATATTCTGTTCTTACATCATGATCGAATTCCACAAAAATTCATCATCTCACCGTTTCATAAGTACGATTCAATAAAGAGAGGATGATTGGTGAAAGGTAGAAAGCTTGATGAGCCCACCACGTGCATTATTATGTGGGCGTAACGGATTTTTGTGAATTGTTGAGGCGATTCCGTTACTCTTGTGTAACTATGACAAATTGATTTTCCAGTGTGAATTAATAAAGTTCACCATCTGTAATAAAGTGTGGTAGCTTGGCGATTACATGAGTTTATGCATGTGGGCGATTATCTCCGCTACACCTTGAGACCACGTGGAATAATATAATAAAAGTTCAATAGGGCGACAAATGACGATTGCTGCAATGAGGTTTGCTATCCGGTCGGATCGTAGTTATGAACTGTGTTGAAATGAAAAATCATTGCTTCTAGGATTCAGTATGTGGGTAATAACTTGATGAGGTGACGGTGTTGATGTGATAGTGGAATTTAATACCTGTACTGGTTACTTTCAACGTTAGTTTAATTAATGATGCGTATTCACAAGTGAGTGTATACTAAGAAATGACGCATTTCAATCGAATGAAAAGACATTTTTGACAATTTTCTACACAGCAAAAACGAATGTCTGAATTTCACACACTTTTTGTAGACATTTTTCAGACACTAAAAAACGTCTGAATAAAATGAAAATTTGTTGGAATTTCAAACGTGTATTAAGATATTTGGGCACCTCTACGTTATTTTAATTAGCGATGCATTTCAATCGAATGAAAAGACATATTTGACAATTTTCTATTCTTTCAATAATATTTTTCAAACTAATGATTAAAGATTTTGAATTAAGTGATTGTTTATTTGACTCATCTGAAAATTTATTCCAAATAATTTCCATTTTCCAAAAAACTATTTGGAATAATCGATGAGCATTCATTTGATGAGGAGAAATAATTGAAATAAATTAGGAAATACTATTTCATTTATTATTCTCAAACATCGTTGCTTCTAGGATTAGATTCGGTATGTGGGTAATAACTTGATGAGGTGGCGGCGTTGATGTGATAGTGGAATTCAATACCTGTACTGGTTACTTTCGACGTTAGTTTAATTAATGATCCGTATTCACAAGCGAGTGTATCCTGAGAAATGACGCATTTCAATCGAATGAAAAGACTTATTCAACAGTTTTCTATTCATTTTAACAATATTTTTAAATGGAATGACTAATGCTTTTAAATTAATTAATTGTGTATTTGACTTATTGTGGGTCGATTGCACCAAGATCAGTTGAATAAATCCGCAGTCAACGGCCCGTTAACTCGTAATATTGACATTGGACGAAATTTAATCCAAAGATTTAAATAACTAATCGAGCTTGGCGTCACCGGCCCTATCTGAAATATTTATTTGAAATAATTTTCATCTACCAAAAGACTATTTGGAATAATCGATGAACATTCATTTGATGAAGAGGAATAATTGAAATAAATTCGGGAATACTATTTCATTTATTATTTTCACAAAGCATTGCTTCTAGGATTCAGAATGTGGGTAATAACTTGATGAGGTAGTGATGTTGATGTGATAGTGTATTTTAATGCCTGCAGTAGTTGCTTTCAACTTTAGTTTAATTTAAGTTTAAATTTGTGATCATTGTTGTTGACTTTTTGGTTAAAAAAAAATCTACTCTCTAATTTTGGGTGACCGGAGACAATTTTGATCGACGAAATCAGATTTCTGAGAAAAAATCACGCGAAAAATAGAATTCCAAATTTTTTTTTCTCGAAAAATGAAAAGAAATTTTGTGAAAGCATTCCTTTCTATTTGATTCAAATAAAAATTAACAACTCATTTTCTATTTAATTCAAACAGTTATTGTTGCCTGCATCAAGAACACATGAGAATAGAAAAACTCAATAATTTATGAGGCTGCAATAAATAAAGTTATTTAGATTTTTTTCTGAAATCCATAGGGACTAACTTTTGGCTCCGATTGTCTTGGGATGGAGAAATGGCGCGTTTCGATCGAATAAAATATTTTAAACAGTTTTCTATTCATTTAAACAATATTTTTTCGTGCTGAATATTAAAAAAATAATTCGCGCGGAATGGACAAACGTCCTTGATTAATTATAATGGAGGATTGAATTTACCTTTCTGTTTGTACTGACGCGTTGGAACGGTGGATTTCTTTGTCTGGAACTTCTGATCACTTTGCATCGATTGTAATCCATTAGTGGCATGCTGTTGCGAGATAGCAGTATTGTTACGGCGATCGTAAGTTTTCTGGGTGGTAATGGTAATGATGGGCCTTGAAGTTATTTTCACTGGTGGCTTGGGCGTTGTTGCTGACGGTGGGGCCGAAGTTTCGTCCTCTGGCTCTGTCAGATTCGACGGATACTCCACAACAGAAGGAAAATCATAATTTTCATTAGAGACAGGATGTTGATTCAATTCAGAGACTGGGGTATTTTTTAATTCAAAGGGCCGGATGACAAAAATTCAGAGAAAAATCTAGTGCACGCTGATAAAAAAGATGGAGGGATTTAGTTGTTGTTAATGAGAGTTCTTAACTATTACCGCCATCCGTGAATAGTTAACTAATGTCATGATGTTAATAGTTAAGAAGCCTCGTCAATACACCCAGAAAAATGTTTCTTTTAAATAAAAATAAAAATCTTTATTACAATTTTCTATTTAGAGATCGGGCAGGCGCGCGGAGCGAATATTTTGAGAAAAAAATCGAAATCGATCCACTAGTTTTGAAGATATTTGCGGACAACGATTTAAAACCGAATCGCTTTTTTGTCAAAAATTATTAGATCGATCAGGTTGAATTTTGCACAGAGTTAGTCCTCATTAGGACCTATAATCTGGCGAAATTTCAGATTTTTGGGAATTACTTTACACTGTTAGAAATTTTTTGAAATTTAAGATTTTGGGATTTATGATGAAATTTATAATTCATCTACTAGAAGACTCTAAAAACAGAAATAAAAATAGAACGTAATGTGCAAAATTATTCTAAATCGAATGGCCAGAGAAAAATTTGGAGTACCTGAGAAAAAAGAGAAAATATTTGAAAGATTCTATCCCATATAAGCGCATGTTAGCGCACGCGTTCGGTGCATTTTGTCCACTCCATGTCTAAGTAATAAACGTGGGTTGGTGGATTGAAATTTTTATAAAGATAAAGGGAATAAGTTCATCTCTCAATTGAAAAAAAAAACAATTTTTCATGAATACTTGCGATTTTGGATGAACATCCTTAATTTCTCAATTTTCTTGAAATCGACTACTGGGAATTTTTACGTTCGTATTTTTACGTTTCAGACCATTCTGCATCATTTCCAATTAAAATTAGAGAATGTAAAAATTGGACGATTACAGTGCTTCCATTCGGAAGCAAAAATCCACGTTAATTAAATTTTTCCGCGTGTAATCATAATATTTTCATCACACGGAAAGAAATGTTCAGTAGAAATTACAGAACTCACAATATGCTCACCGATTACAGAATCGACTTAGAAAATTTGAAGTAGCTCTACCCTTCTTCTTTCAATTTTTAAATTTTTCAACTAAATTGCATGGAAAAAATTTGAAAAAATTCATACCCAATCAGTATTATCTAAATTAAATTTCCCAAAATATTGCTAATTTTTCAAACATTTCCCTTTTATAAATAAATAATAAAACTTGTTTGCAAAACGGTGAATTATTTTTTATGAGGTGTCAAAAAAAATTCTTGATTTTTTCACATCTAATGGAAAAAAATTCAAATTTTTATCTTTGATAACAATGGAAATGTTGATTTTCACATAAGACATTGGGTTAAATCCTGATTTTTAAACATTCCTTCTTTGAAAACCAAATCGATAATTAAATTGAGAAAAAAATCAGAATTCCGAATCTAATCGAGTTTTCTGCAATTTTCTTGCAGTTTTCAATAATCTTTGAATTTACCGTAAGGGTAGAGTTACTTTAAGTGACGGTATCGTAATTTTTCCCAGGAGATTCAAATAAAAATTACGCAACGCTCTGGAAAAATTTCCGGATAATTCCGTAAAATTTCTTACAACCACATTTCGCTCCGGAATTACGGAAAAGATACGTCATTTTTATTGAATATTTCTCTCCGTGCAAACGTTTGAGCATAAAATTTTGTTATAAAAAAATTAATGAATTCTGGAGCAAAAAAAATGATTCCCTCATCGCCGCATACATTCCTAAAAGATGAGAAAGATTGTAGAACACTCGCTTATCTCAATTCTCCCCAACTACCGTAATTACGTTATCACCACTGTAATAATATTTGTCGCAGAGCATCAAGGCCCGATGGAATCGTGGAGAGAGTTACCATACATTATAATCTTCTATTTGCACAAGACACATCCGCGCGGGACATCTGTACTATGTCTTTGATACTCCGCCGACTAATAGAAACAATCCCGATGTTACAGTGGCTCATATATTAAACTAAACCGGTCGAATCGACGTATTGAACCGGAGGCACTTTTTCCAGACACTTGACATAAATTTTTCATCATTTTTTGCCAATCCTCAATTTCTCGTCTGGTGTACAGTGCCAGCTTGTTCGTCACACCGAACGTCTGTAAATCTCTCCGCATTTTTTTGTCATTGGTTTTTTTTTCAGAGAAAAATCAACGCAGCTGGATCGCTGTGAGGAGGAACAATGTAACGAAGCGTGAGAAGAAGAAGAATAAAAACCATTTTACGCGCCCTTAACCACCGACACTTGAGTATTTCTTTTGGCTTAATATCGAGAAGTTGCTCGTCCATGAAATTCTTGGCAAGACCACCCAAAAATGAGCATTGATTTTGCGCACTAATTCGCATGAATCCGAGAATTTTCTTCATTTTATTCGATATTTAATGGAGAAAGTCGATAGATTTTTACTTTTCTGTTCAATTTATTTTATTATTTGACGGAAATTTCCGGTAGACTTGTTGATTTTTTTATCAAGTGGCAATTGAAGTGAAATTTCCGGGATTTTTATCATTGAAAATTAATTAATTGATTGGAAGTATTAATGGAAAATGTATATTTCAGCTCAATTATTTAATTTAAATAAATAGAAATCAAGAACATTCACGTAAATATACCCGTGAGTTGTCAGTTAATTGGAAATTTGGAATTTCATTGAATAATTTCTTTCCTTAATCGAATTCAATATCGCTTTTCTCATAATGACTACTAAATTTTCCATTAAATTTCAATTTTACTCAACAGTCTATTAAGATAGTTGCCATTGAATATTTCCTTATCTATATTTTTTTTCTTCTCTCATTAAAAAATTTACGCAATCAAAATGGAGGAATTTTAATCCACGAATGGAGGAATTTTATATAAAAAATCCTAACAATCGAAATTGATTATTTCGATACAATATTTTCTTCTGAACTTTTCTGTTAAAAAACACACACCGAAAGCCGTGGAACAATATCGATGAAAAACGAGTGGAATTTTCAGGCTAATGGGCCTAGGTTTTCTATTAGATTTCTCTGTGAAAAAATCTCCACACTAGAAGTAGAAAATGTCAAACGTGATGTGCAAATCACATTCAAAATTTCACTAGTTCTTTACCGATTTCTATTGAAAAAAGTACAGCTCTTCTTTTAAAAAAACAATGGAATATAGAATAATTAATTAGTTTAACTGTTCTATAAAATTTATTCTGTTGATATTTTTCCTGTAAAAATTTCTCAGCATAATCTCCAGTTTTCCTCTATTTTTTTCAATGAAGAAGAAAAAATTGCTGAAAACAGTGTATTCTGCAATTTCATCAGTTCAGAAACATTGAAAAGTTAAATTTTCTATTGACAAACATAATATATATAAAAAATTGCAGGTGGCTGCATCTTTGATACAGCTGTAATTGTACGTGGATACGTCTATGGTCTTTCTTTCGTTCTCAAATTTCCTAGAAACTCCCTTAATTTCCTTGAAATTTCTAGAAATTCTATTTCTAGAAATTTTAAGAAACTTCTCGAATTACCTCGAAATGTCTAGAATTTTTTAGAACTCCGATAGACGGCGCTGTGCATAAGAACCGTTTCCCAAAATGACCCCCATATTGAAACCATAGACGTATCCACGTCAAAAAATCAAAGTCCATTAATGCTTTTCTGTCTAGAAAATAAGAGGAAAACCTCGACAATAAATCAACGACAACTGAGAAAAAACAAATAAAACCTGAAGTGGAATTATGTTTGCACGCCTCGTGGTCATTTTCGCTACTCATTAATTCCTCATCAACAAACCAAATTAATGTAAATCAAACAAACGAAACAGCCGCATAAATCATAGCCACGAGACAATCAATTAACAATAACAAAGAAAAATAATATGTAAAATGACTGAATTAACCAAACACCCACGCGTCCCACAATGATGCCGCGCGTTGAATGCGGGTGGAGTAACTATTAAATTAACATTCGTGCATCAGATATGGTATCCTCTGTGCATCAGACAATGCCTAGTACCGGTACCGGGTTCTTGAGACTCGAAGGCAGAGTCGATTGCATCCTGGATAGTCTGTCAGCGATGAAGACCACCCACGGAGCTCCCATAAACCATGCCCGAGTCCATGAGCACCTCAAGGAAGGTTAAACGATATGGGTGGAATAATCTCGAAGAAGAAAACACTCGAAACAAAAAAGTTCTGTCGAAAGATAACAATTATAGTTCTGTAGTGAATTGGTAAACTAGGATAAGTGCGTTTTTTGGCTAAATCGCTTGCCAACAATGGTTGGGGAACGATTTGTTTTTGGAAAAAATTTTCGAAAAAAATGCACTTATTCAGATGAAAAAAAATAGATCTAAATTTAGTATAAAATATACTTGAATCAATTCTTGAACTCGCGCATGTGAACCAACGAACTTACCCACTGCCGCAGTTCAAAGGGCCAGTCGGAATCTATTGCGTCTGCAAAAATATACTTCAATGTAACAATATTCAAATAAATGAAAAATTAATAACCATTATAGTGATAATAATAATATTTTTTGGATCCCTTGAAGGGGCAATCCTGGTAGAAATTTTGGCTCGCGCACGCCCAGGTAGGAATTGAGGATAGAAACAGGACTCATCAAGCCCTGGAGCAAAGCTCGGAAATGCTCAACCAAGGCTGGAGCTCAGCCTTGGATCAGCCCTCCTTCAGCCCCAAAATGATAACCTCGTTTCAGACTAAGTCCATAAGGCTTGAACAATGCTGGGCGCCAAGGCTTGGTCCAAGCCTTGGATTACAAAATTTTAAAGGCTCAATCGCACTTCTTTTAAAAAAATCCTATTAATGTTTACGGATATGTGTTCAAATAATTTCTTATTGTTTCATAAACCCTTCTATGAATCCAGAGCAACTTATGAAAAAGACTGACA